GTCGTATTCGTAGTAGTAGTAGTAGTAGTAGTAGTAGTAGTAGTAGCCGTAATAGTACTACTAGCAGTAGTAGTAGTAGTAGTAGTAGTAGTAGTAGTAGTAGAAGTAGTAGTAGAAGTAGTAGTAGTAGTAGTAGTAGTAATAGTAGTGGTAGTAGTAGTAGTAGTAGTAGTCGTCGTCGTCGTCGTCGTCGTCGTCGTCGTCGTCGTCGTCGTCGTCGTAGTAGTAGGTCCCATAGAACTCCTGTGCATGTCCCAGTAGGTCCTCTAGGGCCCCTGAAAGAGTGCCCAATGTGTTCAATAGAGTCCCTACTAGAGGGCCCAATAAGTCCCATAGGGCCCTGGATTGACTGGCCAATCGACCCTATAGAGCCCATAATCGAGTGCCCAATGGGTCCTATAGAGCCCCTAGTAGAGTGCCCAGTGCGTCCTATAGAGACCCTAATACAGTGCCCAGTGGGTCCCATAGAGCCCCCATGAATTACCCAGTAGGTCCCATAGAGTCCGTATACATGTCCCACTGGATCCCATAGAGCCCGTACACATTTCTCAGTCGTTTACTTGAGCCCGTATACATTTCCCAGTAGGTCACATAGAGCCCCGAAACATTTTCCAAGTAGGTCCCATAGAGCCCCGTACATGTCTAAATAATTCCCATAGAGACCTCATACATTTCCCAGTAGGTCCCACAGAGCCCGTATACATTCCCCAGTCGGTCCCATAGAGCCCGTCAACATGATCCAGTCGGTCCCATAGAGTCAATATACATGTCCCAGTCGAACTCATAGAGCCTGTATACATGTCCCAGTAGGTCCCATCGCACCCGTATACATTTCCCAGTCGGTCCCACAGAGCCCGTATACATGTCCCAGTCGGCCCCACTGAGCCCGTACAAATTTTTCTGTCGGTCCCACAGAGCCCGTGTGTGTACATTTCCAAGTAGGGCCCCTATACATGTCCCAGTAGGTTTCATAGAGCCCCTATACCTGTCCCACTATAGACCCTCCTAGACATGTCCCAGTGGGTCCTAGAGAGCCCCGGGTAGAGTGCCAAGTAGGTTCCATGGAGCTCCGAATAGAGTGCCCAGTAGGTCCTACAGAGCCCCCAAACATTTCCCAGTAGGTCCGATAGGGCCCCTATACATGTCCCAGTAGGTCTTCTCGAGCCCTTTTCATGTCCCAGCCGGTCTTCTACAGCCCCTTTACATTTCCCAGTAGGTCGTATAGAGCCCCTATACATTTCCCAGTAGGTCCTACAGAGCCCTTTATACATTTCCCAATCGAGCCCCTATACATATCCCAGTCGGTCCCATAGAGCCCCTATATATTTTCCAGTAGGTCCTATAGAGCCCCTATACATGTCCCGGTAGGTTGTAGATGTCAGAGGAGCAGCTCGCTCGGCTAGTGCGAACATCCTAGTTCCGCACAGAATCTCAGTGGAATGCTCTGAGCCATTCGTTTACAAAGCGCTATGGTGGCAGCGGACGATCCGGAGTTGCGGCTCGGCCCCCCCTCGCAACTGGTTGCAGGGCGCTAGGGTCCCGGCCTCGCCTCAGTGGGGAGGCCGGAAACTTGGCGCCCTGGGGGGCAGGGCAGCAGGAAACCGGCTTTACTTTGTTGTCGTTGTTGTTGTTGCAGTTGTTGGTGTTGCTGTTGTTGTTGTTGTTGGTGGTGGTGTTGTTGATGTTATTGTTGTTGGTGTTGTTATTGGTGGTGGTGTTGTTGGTGTTCTTGCTGCTGTTGTTGATTATGCTGTTGGTGGTGGTGTCGTTGTTGTTGTTGGCACAAGTGTTGTTTTTGTTGGTGGTGGTGGTAGTGTTGGAGTTGTTGTTGTTGATGGTGGTGGTGGTGTTGTTACTGTTGCTGTTGCTGTTGCTGTTGCCGTCGTCGTCGTTCTTGTTGATGATGATGTTGTTGATGTTGTTGTTGTCCTCGTCGTCGTGGTGGTGTTGTTGTTGCTGCTGTTGTTGTTAGTGTTGTTGTTGTTGTTGTTGGTGTTGTTGGTGTTGTTGGTGTTGTTGTTGGTGTTGTTGTTGTTGAACATTATTTCTTCTTAAGAATAATTATTGTTGGGCCCCCTGGTGCGCGCCCCCCCTGCGCCGCCTAGGCCGCAGCTACATTTTCATCATTTTCGTGAGGAAGCCTCAGAAAAGAGGGTGTGTACAGGATCCGGTTGTTTTGTTGTAATCCGCTTTCCCTTGCAAAAAACAATAGAAAATGACATTTCTTGTTCTAATATAATCAAATTTCAAGAATCCCTTGCAAAAAATAAGGTAAAGTGGACATTCGCGCGCGCAAGACGAAATCCTTCCAAAACCTTAGTGTTCGCAGCGATTTTAACATAAAAACATCAAAAAACCAATGGTTTTTCAACAAAAAATTGTCAAAATCTCATCCCGCGCGCTCTTGCGGATTCGTAGGAAACCCAACACTTTTTAAACATTTCTGTCAAACGGGCTTTTGCGAGCAACTTTTTCGAACTTCTGCGACAACGGTTGCGCACCTGCCAGGGCCATCATCCCTGTCAAATAATACCATGCGGGACACATTCGTTTTTTCTTCGCGCGCGCACGCCGTCGTCGTCGGCCGCGGGGCCCTGAATAGTAGCCACGGTCGTCCGCATGCCACGAAGTGAAGTGTCCGAACGTCATAGGGCGGGAAGCTGGGTGTGGGTGGTGGCGAAGAGTCGTTTGGAAATTTGGTAGAGCTTGAACCGGCCCCCCCACAAAGTGGGGGTATTGCCCGCCTCCTATGAAAACCCTGGCACTGGTGAGAACGGAGTGTCCCCACGTGCTAGTAATTGTTGTTGTTGTTGTTGTTGTTGTTGTTGTTGTTGTTGTTGAACATTATTATTCTAAAGAATAATTATTGTTGGGCCCCCTGGTGCGCGCCCCCCCGCCGCGCCTAGGCCGCAGCCACATTTTCATCATTTTCGTGAGGAAGTCTCAGGTAAAACGATGTGATCCAGATCCGGTTGTTTTGTTGACGCCCGCTTTCCCTTGCAAAAAACAAAGCTAAAATGACATTTCTTGTTCTAACATAACCAAACTTCAAGAATCCCTTGCAAAAAATAAGGTAAAGTGGACATTCGCGCGCGCAAGACGAAATCCTTCCAAAACCTTAGTTTTCGTAGCGATTTTAACATAAAAACATCAAAAAACCAATGGTTTTTCAAAAAAAAATGTCAAAATTCATCCCGCGCGCTCTTGCGGATTCGTAGGAAACCCAACACTTTTTAAACATTTCTGTCAAACGGGCTTTTGCGAGCAACTTTTTCGAACTTCTGCAACAACGGTTGCGCACCTGCCAGGGCCATCATCCCTGTCAAATAATACCATGCGGGACACATTCGTTTTTTCTTCGCGCGCGCACGCCGTCGTCGTCGGCCGCGGGGCCCTGAATAGTAGCCACGGTCGTCCGCATGCCACGAAGTGAAGTGTCCGAACGTCATAGGGCGGGAAGCTGGGTGTGGGTGGTGGCGAAGAGTCGTTTGGAAATTTGGTAGAGCTTGAACCGGCCCCCCCACAAAGTGGGGGTATTGCCCGCCTCCTATGAAAACCCTGGCACTGGTGAGAACGGAGTGTCCCCACGTGCTAGTAATTGTTGTTGTTGAACATTATTAATTCTAAAGAATAATTATTGTTGGGCCCCCTGGTGCGCGCCCCCCCGCGCCGCCTAGGCCGCAGCTACATTTTCATCATTTTCGTGAGGAAGCCTCAGGTAAAACGAGGTGATCAAGATCCGGTTGTTTTGTTGTAATCCGTTTTCCCTTGCAAAAAACACTATAAAATGACATTTCTTGTTCTAATATAATCAAATTTCAAGAATCCCTTGCAAAAAATAAGGTAAAGTGGACATTCGCGCGCGCAAGACGAAATCCTTCCAAAAGCTTAGTGTTCGGAGCGATTTTAACATAAAAACATCAAAAAACCAATGGTTTTTCAACAAAAAATGTCAAAATCTCATCCCGCGCGCTCTTGCGGATTCGTAGGAAACCCAACACTTTTTAAACATTTCTGTCAAACGGGCTTTTGCGAGCAACTTTTTCGAACTTCTGCGACAACGGTTGCGCACCTGCCAGGGCCATCATCCCTGTCAAATAATACCATGCGGGACACATTCGTTTTTTCTTCGCGCGCGCACGCCGAAATCTCCAAAAACCATTGGGCTTCTTAAGAATTTTAGCACCGCGCATCATAAAATCACACGAATCGCACCGTGGGTTAACAACTTCTGTGGGTTAACAAGGCTTAACAACTTCTGTGGGTGTACGAACGTAGGCTTAACAACTTCTGTGGGTGTGTACTCCACGCCAGTGTAGTAGCCACGGTCGTCCGCAGGCCACGAAGTGAAGTGTCCGAACGTCATAGGGCGGGAAGCTGGGTGTGGGTGGTGGCGAAGAGTCGTGTGGATATTTGGTAGAGCTTGCATTGCCCCCCCACAAAGTGGGGGTATTGGCCGGCGTCGCATGAAAACCCTGGGCACTGGTGAGAACACTGAGCGTTCGGGTAAAGTGTTTGTTGTTGTTGTTGTTGTTGTTGTTGTTGTTGTTGTTGTTGTTGTTGTTGTTGTTGTTGTTGTTATATATTGTTGGTGTTGTTGCTGTTTGTTGCAGCGACCTGGCCCGCGACACACTAGCGATCTGTCCCGTCAACCACTCACGACCCACCAGCGACCCATCCCGAGACCCGCCCGCGATCCAGCCGCGACCCACCCGCGACCCAACCGCGCCCCACCCGCGTCCCACCCGCGACCGGGCTCGCGACCCACCCGCGACCCACTGGCGACCATCCCCGCGACCCACCCACATTGCCCTACTGGCGCCTGCCTCGAGCTCGCTGTTGAAACTGGTAGAAACTAGGCGCCTGCGGCGGGCTGCTTCTCGCAGACTGCAGACATCCCCGCCGCCCCCTCATTCGTGTCCGCAACAGCGGGTTGCTACGTCTACGCCTCAACGTGCCAGTGGGCACGGTGGCGGACTTCGATCCCCCCTACCCACGAGGCCCGCCGCGCTGCTTCGTGACGCCCTCTGGGTCCATGGCGCTGAAGCAGCCCCACCCAAACGTGGACGCGGGCGGCATGATCACGGTGCCTTACCTGAACTCTTGGAACCAGCGTTCCCTTCTCACGGAGCCCAGGAGGAGGAGGAGGAGGAAGAAGAGCAGGAGCAGGTGCAGGATCAGGACCAGGATGATGGTGATGTTGATGATGGTGATGATGATGATGATGATGCTGATGCTGATGCTGATGCTGATGCTGATGCTGGTGCTGATGCTGATTATGATGATGATGATGATGATGATGATGATGATGATGATGATGATGATGATGATGATGATGACGATGATGATGATGATGATGATGATGATGATGATGATGCTGATGCTGATGCTGATGCTGATGATGATGATGATAATGAGGAGGAGGAGGAGGAGGGGTGGAAAAGGTGACGATACCGCTGCTTGTCCCTGAGAGCCTTCGTCGCCACGGCTGGACTACACACTTTATTTTAATCCTGGCCAACGATCGCACCCTTGCAGAGATCCAGGAGCAGCTGCATCGGTACCACTTGTGTGACATTCGCCCATGTCTTTCTGCTTGTTCGATCCGCGACCCCAGAGGTCCCCCGTCCCCTTCCCCGCGGCCAGCGTGTTTCCCCCGCATCTCTGTGTTTTGGATGGCCCCGGGGCCCGCCAACGGGCCCCGGATACGCCGACAGTTAGGAAAAAAACGCGCAGGTTTTGAAAACATTTCTTCGTCGGAGATCTGGGGAGATGGTTTTTCATTCTCTGGCGCGTAGGGGTCATTTCCAGGGCCAAGTCCCCCCCACCCCTGGGCAGCGATGGCGATGCTGCGCGAAGGGGGGCTTGGACCCCCCAACACACGTGCTGGTGCTCGCGCGCATACGATGGCGATCGCCGCGTGCCCTCGCCCCAGCATGTCCCACCCTGCCCAAGCGTTACCGTCACCAGGGGCCCAAACCCCCCTCATGGGGCGACGGAGCCTATATGCATCCGTGCCCCAGGCTTGTCCCATCCTGGGCCCAGCAGCAGTGCGTATGCCCTCCTGGCCAAGCGCTCGTGGGCCCAGTATGGACCAGGCCATGTGTACAGATCCTGTCGCTCAACCTCCCCCCCCCCCGGGCAACGACCGCGACTCAGGAGCACGTGGTAAGATAACAATCTCGGTTTTGTCTATGATGTTCCAACTTACTTTAGCCTTGATCACCAGAAAGAACTTCGAGCACCAAATAAAATACCGAAACTCGAGGGTCTTCGCGTGTCGGGCCCTGGGAGACACTCGTCCGACACTCTTTTGACACTGTTTCGACATTCTTTCGACGCTTTTCCGGGTGCTTGAAATTATTTCTGGGATGTGGTCCTCAAGTAGGATCGGAACAACACGGTAAGACAACAATCTCGGAGTGGTCGGTGACCACACCGTGCGGTGAGTCGGTGGGGATTCGGGGTCACCGCACGGTTTTGGGACTCGGGTGTTTCTCCGAGGACGTCTCGGGCGACAGGGGCCTCCAGGGTCCCAGGACCGTGCCGTGACGGACCGCGCGGTGAGGTCTCGGGGGGGGGGGTCGAGGTCACCGCACGGTCTGCCACCGCACCGTTTCGGGAGGAGGAGGAGGAGGAGGAGGAGGAGGAGGAGGAGGAGGAGGCTGGGGAGGAGGAGGAGAAGGAGGAGGAGGAGGAGGAGGAGGAGGAGGAGGGGGGAGGAGGAGGAGGAGGAGGAAGGAGGAGGAGGAGGAGGCCCCCTGCAGGAGCTGATCCCCGCCGTGGGCGCCGTGTTCTCGCAGAACCCCCCCGTGTACTCCACGCAGCCGGCCGCCGCGCCGGCTCTCCCGGGGCGGGGGGCGCGAGCCGGCAGCGACGAGGGGGGGGGCGGCAGGGCTCCCAGGTGGGGGCCGAGCAGCTGCCTCGGTACCAACTGCATGACATTCGCCTTTGTTTTTTTATTTTTCAGGAGGGGAAAAAACACACAGACACAATTAATCGGGGGGAAGACAGAAACCTAGAAAATATGGGAAAATATGGGGGATATTTTTATTTCTGTGTATCTATTTGTGTGTGTTCCAGTTCCCCTTCAGTTTTGTCTTGTCGATCCGCGGCCCCGGAATGTCCCGTCCCCTCTCCCGCGGCCAGCGTGTTTCCCCCGCATTTATCTGTGTTGGATGGCCCCGGGGCCCGCCCACGGGCCCCGGGCGCCGACAGTTAGGAAAAAAACGCTCAGGTTTTGAGAACATGTCTTCGTCGGCGATCTGGGGAGGATTGCAAAAAAACCCGAAGGATTGCAAACAAAAAACCAGGATTGCAAAAAAAAACATGTTTTTTGCAATCCTTCGGTTTTTTGGCAATCCTTCGGTTTTTCATTCTCTGGCGCGTAAGGGTCATTTCCAGGGCCAAATAATCCCCCCCACCCCTGGGCGGCGACAGCGATGCTGCGCGAAGGGGGGGCAAGGGCAACGGGCCGCGGGCGCCGACGTCTGGGAGGAGCGCCCAGGCTGAAGGCATCTCCTCGTCGGAGATCTGTCGGGAGCGGCAAAGAGGGGGGCGATGACTGGGGGGTGGGTGGGTATCTTGGCGGGGGCCATGATGTTTCCTCAGATTTTATGGCGCCTCTTCTTATTCCATTACGTCCCAGGCCCCCCCGCTGGGCCGTGCACATGCCGCTGGCCATGGTTTGCACCCCTTCCTCTTGGACACCCTCCTCTTGGCCGCTCCCGGGACGAGGGGGGGGAGGCGGCAGGCCTCCCAGATTCTAGCAGTGGCGAAGCGTCCTGGCTCGCCTACAGCCCTACCAAACAATTTTCGATGAACCTTTGTTTGTGGTTCCCACGAGATGTGCTTAGAACTTTTCTGGCTGGCACTGTCTTATTTTAATACATCGGGTAAATGTTCTGAGAACATCATTTCTTAAGTATTAGAATTGTGTTGGGTTCTAAGAACATTTCGTGGTAGGACTATAGGAATGCCTGCACGGTCGGTCCCTGCTCAACTCCCAGATGGGGACGGCGCTGATGGGCAACGGTGTTCGAACAGTCGAGGTTCGAAGTTTGCCGACGGTCTCGTAGTGGAGGTTCGAATAGTTGAGGTTCGAATAGTGGAGGTTCGAAGTTTGCCGACGGTGTCGCAAGTGTTCGGAGATGTTCCAGCCTCGGGATGCTTCCCAGCAGCTGCGCCGAGCCGGAGGGGCGTTCCCAGGGTGTCGCGATGCGGCGCGGTCCTCCGACCCCATGTGCTCGGACCCCATTCTGGAGGCTTCCATGGGGTGGCCCTCTAAGACTGCCTCTTATGCCTCTCAGGTTGGCGTGTGGCGTGCGGCTTTTAATTGGGCATGGTTTGGGATATTTCATATTCGGGGGACCTTCCCCGTCCAATGCATTGCCGACTTGTCTTGTATCCGCCGCGGGCTCGACGTGGATTCGACGCGGATTCGACGTGGACTCGATGCGGATTTGCGGATTCGACACGGATTCGATACGAGTAGTGACGCGTTGCGACAGACAAGGTTCCCCAAAGATGCGGCATGCAAGGGTGAAGATGCAGTTCCTGGAAGGTGACAGTTAGCATCGGGGTTGCTATGCCTCTGGCCGCAATCCGTTCCAATCCTACAGATCCCCGCCCAGTTCGGACGTTCGGACTCACGCGGCCGAATCCGGCCCTATGCCAGGCTCACTCCGACCCGATCCTGCTCCGTGGCCCCGGAATCGGGCTCTCAGTCGCCCTTGATCCTTCCTGGGAGGACCTCCTTCCTGGGAGGACCTCCCAGGAGCTACCCCCCTGACTTCTGGCTGGGGTCGGGCGAAGAGAACTGGATGCACAGACACCGATCCTTGCCTCCGCCCTCCGCCCTCCGCTCGCCTCCCTCCTCCTCCTCTGCCTCCTCCTCCTCCTCTTCCTCCTCCTCCTCCTCCTCCTCCTCCTGCTCCTCCCCTCCTCCCTCCTCCTCTCCTCCTCCTCCTCCTCTCCTCCTCCTCCTCCTCCTCCTCCTCCTCCTCCTCCTCCCTCCCTCCCTCCCTCCCTCCATCCCTCCCTCCCTCCTCCTCCTCCTCCTCCTCCTCCCGGGCCCCTCCTGGGCCCAGGAGCAGTGCGCAGGCCTCCCTCCTGGCCAGGCCGGGGGAGACGTGCGCACCGACCCTTTTGCGAACCACCTTTCTTTCTCAGAGAGAGAGCATCGCTGGCCACTGGTCGGTATCGTGATACCGAGGTGCCGTGAGGACGGGCTATGAGCACACCGTGGGCCCGTCTCACCCCAGAAGGCCTGCACAGAAATGGCAGCGAGGCGCGAGCATAGGATGACACACAAGCAAGATGGGAATGAAGGAAACGAGAGGACTCTCATGGTAAAGAGAGAGAGAGAGAGAGAGATTATCCCGGCAAAGCAACCTAACAGCGATGTGTAGAAGCATATCTGAAAGCATTCCCCTTAAGATTCAGATGAAAATCCAGTTGTCGAATTCTGCTGTTCTCGCAGTCGTAGTCGCATTCGCGATGACAGTCGCAGCGGCAACGGCAGTCGCAGTCACAGCCTCAGCCTCAGCCTGCCTCAGCCTCAGCCTCAGCCTGCCTCAGCCTCAGCCTGCCTCAGCCTCAGCCTCAGCCTGCTTCAGCCTCAGCCTCAGTCTGCCTTCAGCCTCGGCCTCAGCCTCAGCCTGCCTCAGCCTCAGCCTGCATCAGCCTCAGCCTCAGCCTCAGCCTGCCTCAGCATCAGCCTGCTTCAGCCTCAGCCTCAGCCTGCCTCAGCCTCAGCCTCAGTCTGCTTCAGCCTCAGCCTCAGTCTGCCTTCAGCCTCGGCCTCAGCCTCAGCCTGCCTCAGCCTCAGCCTGCCTCGGCCGCAGCATCAGCCTGCCTCAGCATTCAAAATGTGGCCCAGGAATGGAGTTCTGGGAACTAGAAGAACACGAAGTGGCCTACAGTTGGCTCCGGGCATTCAAAATCATGCCCAGGAATGGAGTTCTGGGAACTTGAAGAGCACGAAGTGGCCTACAGTTGGCTCCGGGCATCCAAAATGTGGCCCGGGAATGGAGTTCTGGGAATCGAAGAGCACGAAGTGGCCTACAGTTGGCTCCGGGCATCCAAAATGTGGCCCGGGAATGGAGTTCTGGGAAGTCGAAGAGCACGAAGTGGCCTACAGTTGGCTCCGGGCATCCAAAATGTACGCCGGGGATGGAGTTCTAGCAGCGCCAAGAGCGATTTTGCGAGGATGTCCCAAGCGATTTGGGCTTCGGCGGCACCGCCCCGGGTCCCGCCCCGACCCCCCTGTGGAGTCATCTGCTGCTCTCTTTTGAGACCACTAGAAACCTATCAGCAAAAGCTGTTAGGTAAAAAAGAGATCCCCAAAATCTCAATCTCCGCGCGTGGGCCGTCGGCCTGCACGACGTAGCAGCTAGCGTGGATGATGTTGCTCAGGTGGCCACTCGGCCAAGGGGGAGGGAGGGAGGGAGGGAGGGAGGGTACTGGTCATCATAGGAGGAAAGAGGGGGGGAAGAGAGAGAGAGAGAGAGAGAGAGGTGCCCATCAATTCCCGCGGTACCACGCGTGGTACTCACACCCACGGATCGACGGGGACCTCAAGTCACTGGGCAGGGTCAGACCGACATCATTTAGGGAGTGGGAAAGAGAAAAACTGCCACGACTGGGAGTAACAGGGAGGGCGTGGGACGGTGGGAACGCACTGGTCGGCCATCCAACGACAGCACAGGGCGAACACACAAGCCTGACCAATCGGGCACTTTGAGGGAGGGGGGAAGGGGGATGGAGCGGTCGGACTGGCAGCTGGGCGCACTCTGGGTTCAGTCCACATGGGCTCCCAGGCCTTTGGGATTCCACAGGGTTGAGTGAAGGAACAGGGGATGGAAGGGTCGATAAACTTAGGAGGAATCGGTGAGGTGGGAGGGCTAGGAGGGAAACCCTGCGAGCCTCCGACGGCAAGAGCAATGGAGGCGCTCATCGCGCCTAACACCATGTACTGCACAGCGGCCTGCTCACGACTGTCGGCTAGGGTGAACGGGAACTGTAATGGTTGAGCAACTCTTGGGCATATGAAACCTGCGATGAACGAACCAAGAAAAACTGCTGCATAGGAAAGCCTTCTTCGCACAACTCGTTATCCTGCAGGTCTAGCGGCAGCTCGCAGTTTGGGTCAGCATCCATAATCTTTGAGTTGATTCAGAGCGCTGACCCATCTATGATGTGCAATACTTGCGAAATACGCTTCTCCTTGGAACTGGGTACTGCCTTGCGTGGGAAGTGCGACTTGATGCACTTGTTCGCCTGGCCGACCACCGCTTTGTCACTCATGGCCTCCTCGAGTTTGGCTGCCGCCTGACCCCTCGTGAGGCTTCGACGGGAGAGATGTCTTCTTGCCGATGATCGCCTGCAGCCAGCCCACCCCCGCTCTGCTCATGATGTCCCGGGGTTCGGGAGGGCCCGCAACTGGTGTCGGCGAACGGCCACGGCTCGCCTCTTGTGTCGCCTTGGACTCTTTCGTCTCCTTCTGGGCCTCGAGCTTGGAGAGGCGGTCACCAAAGGCCGACTTCATCGCTGCTGCCATGTACTCGCCCTGGCGCCTCAGCTTCATCTCCTCCACCCTGTCCTTCTTGTCTTTGACGAAAGCACTATGCTCTGGATCCCGCTCAGCGAGGGCATCTCGCATCTTCTGGAACTCCATCACTTTCTCCGATGGGGAGCTGGAACGGCCGACTCCCCCAGCACGACGTGCACGGTCACGGTCACGCTCATCCCGTCGATCCTCACGGCGGTCGGGAGAGTGTCGGCGGTCACGGTCACGGTCACGATCTCGATCACGGTCGGAGCTGTCACCACGTCGATCCCAATCGCGGCGGTCATACCCCTTTTCACTTTCACCTTCACGACGTGACCACTGGCCCCTTTCTTACCAGTCGACTCGACCTCCGTCCCGACGGTCTCGATCTTCATCGTAGCGTCGCCAGGGCTGGCGGCGCTTCCCATTACGACCGTCACCGCCCATGTCTTGGAGGGGGAGGAAGAACTTGTGCCACTGACGTGTTACCACTCGAGCCTTCTGGATAGCCACGGACCAGGGGCAACAGTGTAGGGTTGCTTTGATGAGGCCCGCGGGGTATCCCAGGAGGATGAGCTCCAGGGTCAACTCCAAGATCCAGGCCAGCGTAACCGGGATGGTGAGGGACAGGTGCTGGGCACGGGCCAGGCGTTCTGAATATAGAGCAACAACCATCCCAAAGCCCCTGGGTGTAGTGCCTGGCCAGGGGAGGATGTTGGATTTTGGGCGCGGTCCAGGATCATGAGCGATGAGCCAGAGCTTGTTGTCATTCTTGGGGGCTAACTGTCCGAAATGTCGGGGGCACCGTACGGGGATCTCGGAGAAGGGGTGGAGGAAGGGCGCTGCTGCTGCGCCTCGGGGCGGTATGAGCGCGATCCAGAACCTGGTGCGTGATTTTTGCGTCTCCGTTGCTCAGGATGTCCAAGCCGGCTAGACACAAGCTGTGAGAGAGTCCCGTTCTGCGAACAACCTTTCTTTCTCAGAAAGAGAGAGAGAGAGAGAGAGAGAGAGAGAGAGAGAGCATCGCTGGCCACTGGTCGGTATCGTGATACCGAGGTGCCGTGAGGACGGGCTATGAGCACACCGTGGGCCCGTCTCACCCCAGAAGGCCTGGACAGAAATGGCAGCGAGGCGCGAGCATAGGATGACACACAAGCAAGATGGGAATAAAGGAAGCGAGAGGACTCTCATGGTAAAGAGAGAGAGAGAGAGAGAGAGAGATCCCCAAATTCTCAATCTCCGCGCGTGGGCCGTCGGCCTGCACGACGTAGCAGCTAGCGTGGTAGAGAGAGAGAGAGAGAGAGAGAGAGCGAGCCGAGAAAGAGAGAGAGTCGAGAGAGATAGCGAGCCGAGAGAGAGAGAGAGAGAGAGAGAGAGACAGACAGAGAGAGAGAGAGAGAGAGAGCTGCACGCCGCGCGACCCGCGCGACCCGCGGAGGGCGGGGCCCCTCGGGCGGCCCCGCCCGGCCTCCGAGGGGGGCGCCAGGCCGCGGGGTGCCACGGGGGGCCCCCCCGCCCGGGCTGGGTAGTCGAAGGCCAGACTGTCAGACTGGACTGGGCCCCAAGGGCCAATCTGGCCTGGCCATTCGCCAGACTGGATTCGCCAGACTGGATTCGCGTTGGCTCCCTCGCTGCAGATTGCCCCCGTTTGCCAGATTGGGCCTGCCAGATTGGCGCCAGACTGGCTTCGACTAACTACCCAGCCGGGGCCTCCCGCGCTCCAGGCTGAAGTCGGGCCTGTCCCCGTGCAGGCGGAGTTTTCGATGCTCGTTTTGGGGACCTTCCTGGGGGCCACCTCATGGATCTGCTCGACTCAGGTTCGACTCAGGTTCGACTCAGGTTCGACTCACGTTCGACTCACGTTCGACTCAGGTCCGACTCAGGTTCGACGCACGAGTGAAGCGAGTGGCTCCAGGAATGTCCCCAGAATGAGCATGTAAGGGATTTTCAACGAAAAATAAATAACAAAAATACCCCAGAAAAGCAACAATCATCCAAAAATAGTCCCCAGACTATTCTTGGATTAGTTTTTCAGTATTGTAGTGGCCTTCGGCCAGTGCCGCCGATCCGGGGCGCTCCGACTGATGTGATCCTTCTTCGCCCTCGTCCCTCCTCTCTTTTTCCCTCCCCTCCTCTCACTCAGCATTTATCGAAGACGCCTACGGCGAATCACCGCCGCCCCCTGCCTTTTTGGAAGCGCCTATGTGGCCGAACGTTGAGGCCAGACCTGCCAAGCTATCGGACCACGTGTTCCCCGAATCGGTTTGGAAAGCCTTCGGGGAACACGTGGGCATCTTGAAGGTCATCTTGGCCGTCTTGGAGGCCTCTTGGGCAAGCTTTGGGCGATCTTTGGGGCTTTTTGGGCCGTCTCGGGCCAGCTTCGAGCCAACTTCGGCCATCTTGGTGGGTTCCTGGCACGTCTGAAGCCGTCGGAAGCCGTTTGGGGGGCCTCTATGGGCCGACTTGGGGCCCGCTTGGAATGCTCCAGGGCCGTCTTGGAGGCCATCTTGGGCGTCTGGGAGGCCATCTTGGGCGTGTTGGAGGCCTCTTGGGCCCTCTTGGGGCCCTCTAGGGGCCACTTGGGCCATCATGGGGCTCTCTTGGGGGCCTCTTGGGCGATCTTGGGGGCTTCTTGGGCCGTCTCGAGCCGTCGGAGAGCCGAAAAGGCGCAAATGCCAAAATCCTTCAAAAACCAATGAAAAATCAATGATTTTGGCCTCTTCGGACTCTCCTGGAGGACCTCTTGGAGGCCTCTTGGGCCGTCTGGGAGGCCTCTGGGGGGCCTCTTGGGCCGTCTTGGGCCGTCTTGGACTCTCTTGGGCCGTTTTGGAGGCCGTCTTGGACCATCTCGGGCGGACTTGGAGGCCATCTTGGGCCATCTTCGCGATTTTTTGAGGATGTCCCGAGCGAAACGGCCGTTTTTGGAGGATTTTTTGCGGTCGTTGAGCACGTTTGGGGAAATTCCGGGTGGCCGGCGGGTTCTGCCGGAGCCCACTGGGAAGTTCTTTTGGAAAAAGAACCAAAACCAAAACCTGAAACGTCCAGCACGCCGTGCACCCCTGCAAGCAGGGGGCGGCGGATCGAAGACGCCTACGGCGAATCACCGCCGCCCCCTGCCTTTTTGGAAGCGCCTATGTGGCCGAACGTTGAGGCCAGACCTGCCAAGCTATCGGACCACGTGTTCCCCGAATCGGTTTGGAAAGCCTTCGGGGAACACGTGGGCATCTTGAAGGTCATCTTGGCCGTCTTGGAGGCCTCTTGGGCAAGCTTTGGGCGATCTTTGGGGCTTTTTGGGCCGTCTCGGGCCAGCTTCGAGCCAACTTCGGCCATCTTGGTGGGTTCCTGGCACGTCTGACGCCGTCGGGAGCCGTTTGGGGGGCCTTTCTGGGCCAACGGGGCCCTCTTGGGGCGCTCCAGGGCCGTCTTGGAGGCCATCTTGGGCGTCTTGGAGGCCATCTTGGGCGTGTTGGAGGCCTCTTGGGCCCTCTTGGGGCCCTCTAGGGGCCATCTTGGAGGCCACTTGGGCCATCAGGGGGCTCTCTTGGGGGCCTCTTGGGCGATCTTGGGGGCTTCTTGGGCCGTCTTGAGCCGTCGGAGAGCCGAAAAGGCGCAAATGCCAAAATCCTTCAAAAACCAATGGAAAATCAATGATTTTGGCCTCTTCGGACTCTCCTGGAGGACCTCTTGGAGGCCTCTTGGGCCGTCTGGGAGGCCTCTGGGGGGCCTCTTGGGCCGTCTTGGGCCGTCTTGGACTCTCTTGGGCCGTTTTGGAGGCCGTCTTGGACCATCTCGGGCGGACTTGGAGGCCATCTTGGGCCATCTTCGCGATTTTTTGAGGATGTCCCGAGCGAAACGGCCGTTTTTGGAGGATTTTTTCCGGTCGTTGAGCACGTTTGGGGAAATTCCGGGTGGCCGGCGGGTTCTGCCGGAGCCCACTGGGAAGTTCTTTTGGAAAAAGAACCAAAACCAAAACCTGAAACGTCCAGCACGCCGTGCACCCCTGCAAGCAGGGGGCGGCGGATCCAGCGGCCGTCGGCCTATCCCGCCACCGTGCGTGGGTGGTGGGTCAGAGGCCTCATGGATGCTGGTTGGGATCTCGTGGTTGGCTGGGACTTCTGGGGGCCTCTTGGGCGCCTCTTGGGGCTTCTTGGGGGCCTCTTGGGCCTCTTGGGGGTCTCTTGGGAGCCTCTTGGGGCTTCTTGGGGGCCTCTTCTGCGCCCCTTGGGGCCTCTTGGAGGTCTCCTCGGAGCCTCTTGGTGCCGGAGGGGTGGTACTCGAGTTCGGAACCCCCTCGGAGGCCACGATCCTTGTGAGGGGTTGAAAAAAACGCATCCGCTGGAAACTCGCACCTCCCCCCCCCCCCACCCCCCCTTCCCCGGCAGAGCCACCCCGGCAACCCCCCCAGAGGCTGAGGCTCAGCCTCGAGGCTGTAGCTGAGACCCCTTGAAACTCACACGCCGGATCGGCGGATTTCGGGGGTATTGTTTTTTCGTCGAGAAACCCCCTGTAGGGGGACAGGCCCGACCTAACTCCAGGCATCCCACCAGAGGGTTCCCCAGAGGGGGTTTTTGGGGAGGGGTCCCTCCAGGAGGGCTCCCCCTATGGGGCTTCGCCCCCTCTGCCCTGACGAGGTCCCGAGGCCCCTGGGGGGGCTCTCTGGAAGACCCCCTCCCCAAGAACCCCCTGCGATGCCCTGCCCGATTTGTCCCCCTCCCCGGCATCCTTGCTGTCCTCCTCTTTGTCTTCGTCCTCCTCCTCCTGTCCTCTTCCTCCTCCACCTTTTCCTCCTAATCCTTCTCCTTTTCCTTCTCCTTCTCCTCCTCCTCCTCCTCCTCCTCCTCCTCCTCCTCCTCCTCCTCGTCCTCCTCCTCGTCCTCCTCCTCCTTCTCCTCCTCCATTGGAGTGGCCTGGTGCCCGCGCGTGTCCCGGAGGCTCAGCCGCCCCCTGCGGCGGCGGGAGCGCTCCGAGGCCTGCCCGTGGCGGCGGCCACGCCGGTGCCGGTGCGGCCGACGGCGACCATCTCGGCGGCTCAAAGGTGGGGCCTCCCCGCGGGCACACCGCCTGCCGCCCCTGCACTTTGGCCGCGCCGCCCAGCGACGAGCGACGGCCACGACGAGGACGATCGACGAGGACAAGCGTCGACTACGAGCGACAGCGATGACGGCGACGAGCGATGGCAACGAGCGGCACTGGGCGGCCCAGGGAGTGTTCGCAGATCTACGAACAGTCGGCGCATGTTTTGTAGATTCCACGAACATCTTCTTCTCGGGGGTGAATCGATTATGTAGTCGATTCCTACTTGAAAGACGGGGCCCTGAGTTGGTTGCTGGTAAGACCCAGACTCCTTCGCGGCGTGGAAGAGCCACGACTGACCGTGTTCCTCCATGTTCGGCCCCGTAACGGGCCTCGGAGCCATCAGAAAACGATTCTGAAAGTTGGCCTTTGGGTACGGGCCCAGATTTCTGGGAGTCCACGCCATGGAAAAATCATGACGTCGGGGATCTGTGGTAACACCCTGCTCGTCAGACCCGCAGGGATCGGCGCGGGGGTTCCTCAGGAGATGGGGGGGCTATCAGTGGATGCCAAGATGGGCGATCTCTTGCCTGACCTGGTTTATAAGTGCGTTACACATGCCCCAATTGGCTGAAGGGGGGGTCCTAACTCAGCTAAGTGGGCGAAGTCCATTCGGGGGGTTTAGCGATCCTGGCTAAGTCGGTTCCGCCCTTTTAGCTGAATTACGACCCGCTCTGAGCCACTTGGTTGGGGCATGTGTAACCCACTTGTTACCCAAGTTAGGCCAGATGTGGCCCACCTTGGCATTCACTGGTAACTTCCTCTATACCCTTACCACTCCCCGCGCCGATCCCAGTAGAAGTAGCCCTGGCCCGAGGTGCCCCCAGCTCTTCGCACCATGTTGGAGCTTTGGGGCCGACTGAGCCTCGCTAGGTGCTCCGAAGGCCATCCAGGCCTGCTCGGGAATCCTGCGGACACCTTGGGCCGGGGGCACTTTTGACAACAGCCGACCTGAGGACAAAACCTCCATCAGTGAAGTTCCAGTTTGTGGCCCACTTCCCGTCCTCAGGGCACTCTATTTCACAGCCCCATCCTTTGAGCCGCCGGTCATCCAGCCGGGCCACTCCGGCGCGAAGGAGCGGCTGATCGCGGAGGCGGGACCTTGTGTCAATTCGGCGGCCCAGAGGGGAAGTGAGAGAGGAGAGAGAGAGAGAGAGAGAGAGAGAGAGCGAGAGAGAGAGAGAGAGCAGGCCTTCTCAGAAGGCGGCGGGGCTTCTCAGAAGCCCTCGCGCCTTCTGAGAGAAGCCGTCCGCGGCTTCGGAGCAGACTCACAAGGCTTCTCAGAGGGCGCGAGGGCTTGTGTGAAGCGCCGCCACTTCCCCGCCCCGGGTTCGCCGCCGATCCATCCCTCTGCCTTCCGGGCCCTCCCTCGGAGGAGAGCCAGCTCCGGGACAGCGGCGGTCCTCCTGGCATGATTTTCGTCCCCCGTGGGTCTCCTGGAGGCTTCCTCGTCGCTGCGGCCGGGTCCGCCTCGGACAGCAGGTCGGGACGGGCCCCGGAAGGCGTCTGTCTGGGGAGCGGTGGTGAGCAGGCTTGGGCCAGGCCCGAGAGTCGCGGTGCTCCTTCGACTTCCTGCTCCTCCCCCCGTGTCCCCCTGTCCTCCCTCCTCTTCCTCCCTCTTCATCCCTCCCCAGACCCGTCACCCTGGCCCGTGGTTCGAGGCGGAGCCAGCACTGGCGACGAGAGGCCCCTTGGAGGCCCAGAGAGGGTAAGGACTGCCAGAATGGGCTGCCCATGGCTCGACTCGCCGTCCGCCCCTGCTCGCCTCTCCCTCCCTCGCAGGCCTCGCGGTCGGTGCCAGCACCAGCGTCGGCGGTTGCCACGGTGCGCATGTTCGGATGGCAGTGTTCGGGCCTCCTCCTCCTCCTCCTCCTCCTCCTCCTCCTCCTCCTCCAGACCACAGCCAGGACCCAACTCTAGGATCGGTTTCCCCCCGTGGAGGCCGCTCCCTCCAGCCAGGTTGGTGCCACGTCCAGGCCTCCAGCTCCCACCTCCTCCCCGCGCCGTCCTCGAGCCGTTCCGAGGAAAGCAGAACGAGCAAAAACGCAAACACACGCGTGGAGGCGACAAGAGGTCTCCGGGAGCGGTGGACGCTGGCGCTCGACCCCGTGGTCGACGACCTGAATGCGCAGGCGCGGCCACGGCTCGAAGCACAAAAAATGGCATGAACATACAACATTCGGAGTTCCGCGCGGGTCTCTAGAGGATCAGCGCTGCGGCCCCCCTGGCGGCGCCTCCGGCGACGCCCGTGGCGCATTAACGCGCGTCAGGGAAGAGGGCCCAGCGCAGATTCAAGACATCCGCGCGGTGCTTCGAAAGTTCATGTTTGTGCCGTTCCGTTCCCCCTCTAACATTGGCAGCCGCTGGCCTCGCCCATGGGCGCCGACCTGGAGTCGAGAGAAGAGCACACGGCACCAGAGTGTGTTGGCAATTGGTCGGCCTCCGGGGGTCCCTTTCGACGGGCCTCGCGGCCTCCCGGGGAGAGAGGCCAGGGGGTCTGTTTGGCCTGTTGGGGGGCCTCCCGGAGAGGCCTCGCCGGGGCAGCCAGAAGAGCCCCGCGCCTCAAGAGGCACGAAAGAGTGAGGCGGGCAGGTGAGCGGCGCAAAGAACGGGGTCGTCTGCACCGACATCAGGGCGTAAGCTGCCCTCGTAAGGTCGCGCATAAACGCCCCTCGTCTCCATTGTGGCTTGCCGCACTGGTGGCCCGCGTAAGCCGCGGCGTAAGGTCGCTGTGCCATCTCGCGCAAGAGCCGTGTTTGATCATCGCTCAGTTGTTCCCCCCGCCCTTGAGGCTCCCGCCCGTGTGTCACCGAGCGCGTTCCACTAGTCGCAAAGTGCCTAGTCGCAAACGTCCCAAAAACATAGGATGTTCGAAGCAGTGGAGCTCGTTTGCCTCGACGCAGTGGATCCAGGCCATTTGCGAGCAGCTACTTCGCGAGTAGGGCAACGCGCTTGTCCATCGTGTCTCTACAGTCGGACCGACGTATAGGATCGAGGTCGGTTCGGAGAGGGTACCCTACTGTTCTTCGTGTTTGCTTCTCGTGAATCCTGGGGGAGGGTACCCTCGAAGGTTCTTCAGTTTGGCCGGCGGAGAGTCTCATGTTTTTGAATCGGAAAAACGTAGGACTCGAGTAAGCTGGAACTCGGGTTTGCCGACGTTTTTTTTTCGAGCGCGTCCCGAATGTTGACAGTCCGGTTTTCGTGGGATGTTTGCAGCGGGATTTTGGGCCTCGTCATGTTCGTGATGGCCCTGTCCAGTCAGCCCGAGTCCCCCGTATCCGAGTCTTACGTCTTCCCGATTCAGTGACGTTGTTCTGTCCTAGGTCTGTCGGACGACGACCAATGCACAGGAAGCATGTTGCCAAATAATCCCAGATGTCTAAAACATGGTTTTAACATGTTCTCAACATGTTTTAAAAAAAGCATGCTCTGACATTACGTTTGTTCAAACATTTGAAACACATGTTTAATTCGAAGATGGGATTGTTGGGGTGCCCGTTGTCATGGCATCACAATTGTAGAGGGCGGCGGCTTCCCGGGCCCGGGACCGTCGGGAACGGCCCTTGACGAACGGAGAGAGCTGGCTTCGGAAGGGGCTCGTGCGCCACGGTGCCTCGAGGCAGCTCCAGGCCTCTCGGCGCGGGGGGGAGGGAGGGGCGCGGCCTCTCGGGGGGCCCGGCATCGCTCGGGAGGGTGCGTTTTTGTTCTTCCTCGGCAGGGGCCATCGAGGAGCATCGAGCGAACAAAAAGACGCACGGCCTGTGGACGTTTCCTCGGCGGTGACAGTCGAGGAGCACCCCGGATCATCGAGCGAGAAAAGATACAGGCACGCTCTCTCAAACACACCCTTCCCACGACGTGTGCATTTTTTCGAGGGTAATTAACCATCAAGGCGCACCCTGAGCCACCGAATGAAAACACACGCACAGACACACGACGTGCGTGCGTGTGATTTTCCCTCGGCGGCGACCATCGAGGAGCACCCCGGAGCATCGGGCGGCCAAGTGCACGGCACGACGCCGAAGCGTGCATGGGAGGAAGGGACGCCCGAGCGACGGCGGGGGGGCGGACGGGATGCGGCCTCCCAGCGGACGCCGACCTTTTTTCCCTACCTAGGCTCTGCCTAGAAGGGTTCTTACTCTCTTGGCTTAAAGGGCCGGGCAGTGGGAACCGGCCCGGGCGGTTCCCCCAGTATCCGCCCCGCGGTTCCCCCAGTTACGTCCCCTTAGCTTAGCGTTGCTTTTATCATCTTAGCTTAGCTTATTTCATATTAGCTTAGCTTAGCTTAATGTTAGCTAAGGTTTATCTTAGCTGACCTTCATCTTAGCTTCGCTGAGCTTTAGCATAGCAGAGCACAGCATAACATATCATAGCGTAGCATAGCATATCGCAGCATAGCATATCATGGCATAGCCCGACATAGCATAGCATAGCGCAGCACAGCATAGCTTAGCATAGCATAACATAACCAACATATCATATCATAACATAACATATCATAGCCTAGCGCAGCTTAGCATAGCATAGCATAGCACACCATAGCTTAGCATAGCACAGCGCAGCATGACAGCATATATTAGCATAGCATGGCATAGCATAGCGCAGCATAGCATAGCATAGCATCGCATAGCATAGCATAGCATAGCATAGCGCAGCATAGCATGGCATAGCATAGCTTAGCATAGCAAGTGATGCTGCTTCCCTAGGGGCTCCAACTTCTAGGTAGGGTCGCACTGGGGTAATGTTCGCGGGGGCGGCGCGACCTGAGGGCCCAGGAAAGCATCGAGATGCGGAAGGCGGAAAAAGAACAGTTCGGCGACTCGGGTCGAGAGCTCTGCAGGGCCCACGGAGACTCTAGCCACGCGGAGACTGATGGTTGCCTCGCTTGTCGTCTTCTGTCGCCGGTGCTGGTGTTCCGATGGCGTTCGACAGTGTCCTCGCGCTGGCTTCGAGGCCCGGGCAGAGAGCTCCGAACATGTTCCGAGGGTGTATTGGTAGTGCCCCCGATAGTGTCCCGACAAGGTCCCCCTCGTGTGCCGATTAAGGGCTTGTCGATTTTTCGCCGATCGACTTGTGGGGAGCGAGCCAGAAAAATCCAGGTAAATGCAGATAAATCGAGGTAGATCCAGATAAATCCAGGCAAATCGAAACAAATCCGGGTAAATCCAAAGATCTCCGAGGAAAGGTGAAGCAACTCGCGGCCGCTCCAGCGCGAGTCGAAGGACGGCAGAAGTCGTTAAGCCTTTAACGACGATAGTGTTCTGAGCAGCCTTCCGATTGCTGTTCCGACCGTGTTCCAATGGTTCTTCGAAGCGACGGCAGGGGCCGAGTGAGCTCGGACCGCCGCCACAGGCCGCACCGCGACCCAAGGACACCGTTTGGACATTATATGTAAGGAGCTGACTGTGGGCCTCGCGCGGCGCGCAATGCTTACAGAATCTAGTCCACTTCTTCCGCACCGTCAGATGTGGAATGACGTTCACGCAGCGATGTTCCGACGTACATCCGACGTAAATTCGACGAGAGGCCGACGTGGATGGGGCGTAAGTTGGGTCTCGAGTGGCCTTTCGAGGCCGTCAGGAGTTTCCTCGTAGCATTATCGGGACTCGATCGAGGGGCAGGACATAAGCGCAAGGCTCCCACGAGGTTCCACGAGAAGCTTCTCAGACGTCCGCGGGCTCTTTTTCCGCAAGTGCCGGGCCCCCTCTCCACGCCCCTGCTGGGATCGGCGCGGGGGGTGCTAAGGGGATCGGGGCTTATCGCTGGCCTAGCTTGGTGTACAAGGGAGAGTCAAGTGACCCGGGCTGCTTAGTGGGGTGCGGTAATTTCGCTAAGAGGGTTCCGCCCGCTTAGCGGAATTATCCACCCCGGCGTCCCCCCCCCCTTTTCTCGCTTCGTGCGCTGGGGTCAGGGGTGGCCAAGAGGGAACATGTGGACCCCCAATCTTGGAGGTGGCTGGGGTGTCTGCCCTGGATGGCCACCAGCAGAGCCAGTCAAGAGGGGGGAAGAGGACAGACTCCGCATCTGTTGACGAGGTACGAAACCTTTGTACATGGTGCCTCTCCTCGCAGGCAATTTTTCTCTCTCAATCCCTGAGTTCCACCCGGAAAAGTTAGGCCGCTCAAAAAAGGAGGGAACTCTGGGATGCACCCCAAGAGGGCCATTCGGACGCACATCGTATGTCCCAGGGTTAGGCCCCAACTTGCTGGTCCGATCGAAGATCCCAACAAGCCTGGTTGGGGCTTGACATCCCCTGCTGTCTCCCTTTCTCTGACAGCTTGAACCGGTTATGCCTCACCTCGGCCTCCCAGCGGACTCCAACCACGATCACCCATTGGTCGCTTCGTCTTCCTTTGCCTCGTTGCATCCCCCTCGGCCTCGTCCTCCTCCCCGTCTCCCTCATTCGGCCTCGCCCTCCTCGGAGCTGAAACTGTGTGAGGCAGCCTGCGGGCCTCAAAAGAAAGCATTTCGTCACCGATCGGCCAACATTCAAGCTCGGAAGTTGAATGCGGTCACGAGCAAGCTGCTAGACTGTCGTACGAAATTGGCCTATCTGGCCATGACGCAGACAGACGAGGTACATATTCGCAGCGACTCTGCGTGCCGACGTTTGACCGGCAACGCCGATGATGAGGAGAAAAGGCGCGGCATCCGCGGGCCAGAACTGCTGCTGCGTGGCAGCGCGCTCAACGGTGCGTCCGCGAGTCAGCTTGTGGGCCCGTGATGTAAGTCACGCCGGTTTCAGGTGCGTTAGAACTACCAGGCGGGGGCGCCAGATGCGGCGCATGAAGTTCCTGTATTCTATCCGACGATCGTGGCGCCACGCGAACTCAAAACAGGAGCCGCCCTAACTCCGGAAGAACCCAAACGCGTATTTTATACATATTCGAGTACTTGTCAAGAGAGGACCTAAAGAAGCCGACTCCGCGCCCTCCACTTGGTCGCGCCAGTTGGATACGACAGACGGTGCGCAGGGCTATCGCGCAACGTGGCCAGCGTTGTGATCGTGAGTCACATTTACAGGCCACATCAGTCTGACAGCGATGTGTACCATAAGTGCAGAGAAGCGCACGCCACCTCGCAGCGCCAAAACATACGCGCCCCTGAGCCCAGTTTTTCCAAGGGCCGCGGGCCACGACGCGCGAGGCCTGGCAACAATCGCCTACACACAGGCTTCGTGTACCCAGTGTTTTGTGCTTGCCTTGTGTTTGCAATTTGTCTGCGCGCAATGGGTTGCCGATCTGCGGTCGCCTATCTTCGGCGCGCGTAAACGTTTGGCAGCGAACCGCCTCTCCGTCGCCTGTCTCTTTCGGCGAGCCGAGCTGCAAGGTGTGGGAGTGGCGGGCGCTGGAAGAACAAGCCCCTTATCGCCTTTCGCACGGACTAGTAGAAATACTGTGTTTGGTGTTGCTTTTGATCAGAGAGGGGCGCGATGCGCTTCGCCCCCCCCCCCCGCCCCGCCCCCCCCCGATTTGAAGGGATGTTACTTTGCTGGGTGCGCGACAGGGAGCAAAGTAGGAGCGAGCACATTTGTTTCCATCTGCTACTCGGTTGGTGGCATCTGGACATGCTTAGACATACAGACGACTGCCTGCGTACGGGAACATATATTTCCTTCTCTCTCTCTCTCTCTCTCTTTCACTCACTCTCTCTCTCTCTCTCCCTCTACATAGGCATCACATGACGAGCCCCGGGCGTGAGGCACGTGTTTGACCCCTCCCCTTTGGGGCCCTCGAATTGCCCATTGGGTCCTTCTGGGGGAGCTATCTTGAATCGCCTTTGAGGCAAGGTTCGGAGCATCCCTTCTTGGATCCATCTTTGGCCATGTTGGGCGCCCTTGCCAATCGCGGCCCGCCCAGAACTGAACAACTCCATGGAAGGGAAGCGGAGGGCGCCCCTCCCTGAATGGAAGGGCGTTTTTCGAGGAGGAAAGGAAAACATCGCCAGGCCCGCCTAGTGGGATGGTGGGACTTTGCAGCAATCGAGGGCGCCTGTCCCAGGGCGACTGGAAAGTTGATACCCCCTCTTTCCACCGTGGTGGTCCAACATCTTCCCTGCCGCCCTGGGACAGGCGCCCCTGTCGGCGGTACAACTGATGTGATATAGCGTTCTTCCCCCAATGAAAAAGCCAACGCCAGCGTCGTCGCCGCGCGAACCTGCCGTGGCCGCCCAGCGCGCAGAGCGCAGCGCGAACGCAGCTAATCTGCGCAGCCAGCCTCCGGCGGCCGCGGGGGCCCCCTGTAGGTCCCCCGGAGGTTTTTTGCAAGCCTCTGGAAGTTCCCCCACGTTGAGAAAGACCGGCGAAGACCGCCCAGAGACGACGGCTAAGTGGGCGCCTGTGGGTCTCGGGGAGGCCTCGTCAGGCCTCTGAAAATCCGCCCGCCTGCGTCTCTGAGGCGTTCGAGCGCTGAGAAAGACCGGCGAGTACCGCACAGAGACGACGGCTAAGTGGGCGCCAATGGGGTCCCAGGGAGGCCTCGTCAGGCCTCTGAAGGGCATCCCGCCTGCGTCTCGGAGGTGTTCGAGCGTTGAGAAAGACGGACGAAGACCGCCCAGAGACGACGGCTAAGGGGGCGCCCAAGGGTCCCCGGGAGACCTCGTCAGGTCTCTCACGGTCCTCCCGCCTGCGTCTCTGAGGTGTTCGAGCGTTGAGAAAGACGGGCGAAGACCGCTCAGAGCCGATGGCTAAGTGGGCGCCCAGGGGTCCAAGGGAGGCCTCGTCAGGCTTCTGAAGGTCCGACGTGTTCGAGCGTTGAGAAAGACCGGCGAATACCCCCAGGGGTCCCAGGGAGGCCTCGTCAGGCCTCTGACGGGTTTCCCGCCTGCGTCTCTGAGGTGCTCGAGCGTTGAGAAAGACGGGCGAAGACCGCTCAGAGCCGATGGCTAAGTGGGCGCCCAAGGGTCCCCGGGAGACCTCGTCAGGTCTCTCACGGTCCTCCCGCCTGCGTCTCTGAGGTGTTCGAGCGTTGAGAAAGACGGGCGAAGACCGCTCAGAGCCGATGGCTAAGTGGGCGCCCAGGGGTCCAAGGGAGGCCTCGTCAGGCTTCTGAAGGTCCGACCGCTTGCGTCTCCGAGGTGTTCGAGCGTTGAGAAAGACCGGCGAATACCCCCAGGGGTCCCAGGGAGGCCTCGTCAGGCCTCTGACGGGTTTCCCGCCTGCGTCTCTGAGGTGTTCGAGCGTTGAAAAAGACATGCGAAGACCGCCCAGAGCCGACGGCTAATTGGGCGCCAAGGGGTCTCGGGGAGGACTCGTTAGGACTCTGAAGGTCCTCCCGCTTGCGTCTCTGAGGGGTTCGAGCGTTGAGAGAGACCGGCGAGGACCACTCAGAGCCCACGGCTACGTGGGAGCCAATTGGTCCCAGAGAGGCCTCGGCATGCCTCTGAAGGTCCTCCCGCCTGCGTCTCTGGGTTTTTCGAGCGTTGAGAAAGACTGGCGAAGACCGCCCAGAGACGACGGCTAACTTGGCGCCCCGGGGTCCCAGGGAGGCCTCGGCAGGCCTCTGAAGGCCCTCCCGCCTGCGTCCCTGCGGTGTTCGCGCGTTGAAGAAGACCCGCGAATACCACTCAGAGCCGATGGCTAAGTGGGCGCTCAGAGATCCCAGGGGGGCCTCGTCAGGCCTCTGAAGGTCCGACCGCCTGCGTCTCCGAGGTGTTCGAGCGTTGAGAAAGACTGGCGAATCGGGCGGAGAGATCTACACACATGCACCGATCCTGGCAAAGCCCGTCCTTGACCCAGGATCGGTGCATATACCTTCCTTGCCAAGGTAGAGGGCGTATGCACCGATCCTGGGCTCAGGATGGTCCTGGCCAGAATCGGTGTATGTGCATAGTTCTCTTTCCTCTAGCGAAGACCGCCCAGAGACGACGGCTAAGTGGGCGCCTGTGGGTCTCAGGGAGGCCTCGTCAGGCCTCTGAAAATCCTCCCGCCTGCGTCTCTGAGGCGTTCGAGCGCTGAGAAGGACCCGCGCAGACCGCCCAGAGCCGACGGCTTAGTGGGCGCCCGGGGGTCCAAGGGAGGCCTCGTCAGGCCCCTGAAGGTCCGACCGCCTGCGTCTCTGAGGTGCTCGAGCGCTGAGAAAGACGGACGAAGACCGCCCAGAGCCGACGGCTCAGTGGGCGCCCCAGGGGTCCAAGGGAGGCCTCGTCAGGCCCCTGAAGGTCCGACCGCCTGCGTCTCTGAGGTGCTCGAGCGCTGAGGAGGACCCGCGAAGACCGCCCAGAGCCGACGGCTAAGGGGGCGCCCCAGGGGTCCAGATCTCAGGAGAGAAAGAAACGCACAGACACAATTAATCGTCGATTCCCTTGAAAATATGGGAAAATATGGGAAGTGGGGGGGAAGACAGAAACCCAGAACATATGGGAAAATATGGGGGATCCTTTTATTTGTGTGTGTATTTATTTGTGTGTCCTGGGGCCCCTTCAAGATCGCAGCCCTTCCTGCAGGACGACCAGGGCTACGCCTGTCCAGGGGCCGGCTCTCGGCCACCCCGCGCCCCCCCCCACCTCCCTCTTCCTGGGGAGGGAGAGCTGTTGCACGCTACTCCCTCCTGCTCCTCCCAGAGGAGTAGAGGAGGAGGAGGAGGAGGAGGAGGAGGAGGAGGAGGAGGAGGAGGAGGAGGAGGAGGAGGAAGAGGAGGAAAGGGCAGAGGACGAAAGGGAGAGCGAGGAGGAAGAGGAGTTCGGGATCATCCTCCCTCCTGCTCCTCCTGGACGAGGAGAAGGAAAAGGAGGAAGAAGAGGAGGAACAAGTCTTATGTTCCCCCCCCTCCCTTCCTGGAGGGGGACGACTCGTGGATCCTCCCCCTCCCTGCCTCCCGCAGGAGGAGGAGGAGGAGGAGGAGGAGGAGGAGGAGGAGGAGGAGGAGGACTTCGCTTGGCCAGGGAAGAGAAATTCGCCTGGCCAGGTGCCTGCTCGGTCATTCCGCCCCCACCCCCGGGCCCACACCGGGGCGGGGCCCGCCCCCGAGGCGGACAGGAAGGCGGCCCTGCAGGCTGCCGCCGCGAAGGCCGGCGGGAGAGACCTGCAACGGGGGGGGCAGTGGGCACGACGCTTCTGTTTGGTACGTCTCGGCCTCCTCACGTGTCGCCGGAGTAGATGGGGTCGGGGAATCGCGCCGCATCGCCGATGCACCGGCGAGGCGGCTCGATGCGGGGCCCGAGGTTCTCCACGCCGCCGTTGCCGGCGCACGGGTGACACACTGGCGATGCGGCGCGATCCTCCGACCCCATCGAGGAGGCCCTTACGAAATCAATGCTAGCATTGGTTGGGGCATCCTTTTGTTTGGTAGGCTTCGGGCTTCGCGCAGACAGCCCCGCCAGGTAGTCACGGCCGGCCTCAGCAGGCGCCGCGAGTAGTCCCAGCTTGCCTCAACAACCCCCGCGAGTAGTGTGGGGTGCTGCCAGAGTCTGCGCGCAACCCGAAGCCTTCCCATCTGCCATGGGGGGTATAGTTGGCACGAGGTTCAAGAACAATGCTATCATGTCAGGGGCACTCTTGATGTTCTTCGTTTCTGTTGGGTTCTCCACGTTGGAGCGCTGTTCGCTTTGCGTACCTCCATGGGGTCGCAGGTCCTCGGCGAAGGGGCTCGTGCGAATCAGTGGGCCACGTCCTTGTGGCCGCGTTCCGATCGCCTGGCGACCCGACTCTCCGCCTTTCTGTTCGAAGAGAGGGCAGCATAAACGCGCCTGCATCGGATCTCTTGGATGGCCTCCTCCTCCTCCTCCTCCTCCTCTTCTCCTCCTCCTCCTCCTCCTACTCCTCCTCCTCCCCCTCCTCCTGCGGATCTCTTGGATCGGCGCTTGACGGCAGCGCCTCCGGCGCCGCGCCTCGCACCGAGGAGGGGGTTCTCATGGGTTCAGGGGGTTCTCACGGGTTCCCGTGCCGCTCCGGCAAGCTCGCGCCAGCTATGTGTGGGCCTTTCGACCAGAATGGTGAATTCAAGAGAAAAAAAAACACGCAGACACAATTTATCGTCGAGTCCCAGGAAAATATGGGAAAATATGGGAAGTGGGGGGGAAGACAAAAACCCAGGAAATATATGAAAATATGGGGAATATTTTTGTTTGTGTGTATTTGTTTGTGTGTCCTGGGGCCCCTTCATGAATGTGGCCCCACTCGGGGGTATACGATAGGGGGCGTACATCCTCGACAGTGTGTCAGCCCCCGGGCTTGTATCCTGAAGCTTCCCTGCTTTTTTGGGCGGCCTTATTCTTTTGAGGGGAGCGGGGGGGGCGAGAAGTGGCCTGTGAGTCCGCAGACTCGTGCGTCGCCGGAGGAGTCGACGGGAAGACCCCGAAGCTCGGGGACCTAGAACCTGGAGCTATGACAGGCCAGCCACAACTGGGGGAGCTGTGGTTCTTACCCCCTGGGGGACCCATCGATTTCAACACCCTCTCGAGATATCGTCGATGCGATGGGTTCCCCCAGGGGGATAAGGACCACAGCCCCCCCAGTTATGGCTGGTCAGTATGAGGTTTCTGGTCGCGTTTCATTCAATTTGTGCGTTCGAGGGGCTCCGCGGCGCCACGGCTTGATGCGCATCGAATTTCTGCTGAGAACTCACTCGCGACAAAAAAACAGGGCTGGTCTTCCCTGGACAACGATATCCAATGTCTTGGAAATGTTGACTCTGAGCCTTGCTGCCACATTCGGCCTTCGGAGGCCATCTTCAGGCTCTCGGGCCGTGAAAGACCGTCTTCTAAAAGCCAGTCCCCTGCAGGGGTCGAGGTGTCCGGTAGCCTCGCATTGACAGACATCATTGCGTCGGATGTCTGGGGACGAGGCAGGGCCCATGTCGATAAGTTCGATGCGATTTCGCATCTACTTCGGCCAGCCCGATTCGATTCCAGCTCTCTGGGTTATCAGATGTTCGTGGGCGTCCAAAGAAGGGGGTCTCCCCCCTCCTTCATTAAGTCGGGCGTGTCCCTCTACAGGAGGAACATTTGACAATAGTCAAAACATCGTCGGGACGATTTGTTTGTAGTATGTTGTTGAATATGTTTGGCGTATGTTTGACTTTTTCAATGATTCGCTAGAGACAGAAAGATGACACGGGAGGCTCCCATGAGCTGCCACAGAGTTCAAGCGATGGCGAGGCGTCTTGGCTTGCCAACAAACCCACCGAATAATGTTCTAATAACCGATTGCGGCTTGCAATTAATGTTCTTGGAGCAGTTCTGGTTGAGACCCTCTTGCTTTAGCTTATCGGCTTTATGCTATAAGAACGACGCTTCACATGCTCGACCATTTTTCGTTCTGAAGGAATCTCGTGGTAGGCCGACGGAGACCCTCGGTCCTTGCTCAGAGAGCCGGCTTCTCCAAGATACAGTCGGGGCCCTGAAGAAGGAACCCTTGTCGTTGGGGAGGGGCTCCGTGTTCCTTAATTGGATTTTCCTTGGGTTTGGATTGTCTTGGCTCTTCCTTAGGATTTCGCAGCAGCTTCGCAGCTTGCCTTGGATTTGCCTTAGGTCTTCGATGCGGAATCGAAGTTCCACTTGCGGAGAATAGGGGCCTCGTTCCTTATTTAGGGTTCCTTAGGTCAACGCCTCGACAGTAGGCAGACGGGAGTGCCGGGACGCTCGGTCCTTGCTCAGAGAGGCGGCTTCTCCAAGATAGAACTCTTCACCTTCTGTCGCCCTTCTCCTCCGCCGCGCCCCGCCCGCCCGCCCCGCCGCCGTCGGTGCGCCCCCGCGCGCGTCGTGGGCCGAGGAGAGGTGCTCGGGGCCCGCGCCGAAGCGGGGCCCCCTCGCCTCTCGGGGGGGCGGAGGGGGGGCCGGCGCAGCGGGGGAGGCACGGCCGCAGCAGGCAGGCGCTGCACGCTGGCACCCTCTGCACGCCTGCTCGCCCGGCAGGGGGGGGGGCAGGAGCAGCGAGGCTCTGGCTCGCGCTTCCGAGCTGGGCCCGTTTTTTGTCTACCGCGGCCACCACGGGCAGAGGAGAGAGAGGGAGGAGGAGCAGGAGGAGGAGGAGGAGGGGACGGAGCCGGAGAGGGCGACCGCCCCCTCCTCCCGTCCCCCCCCCCCCCTCCGCCGTCCCTGCCCATGCCAGCGGCGGTGGACCACTGGCCCATCGCAGGCGCCTCTGTCTTCCCCCTGGCCCTTCCCCGCCCGCGCGCCTCGCGCCGCGGAGCACGTCTCTGCCTGCGCCTCCTGGCGGCCCCTGCCCCAGCAGCTGGGGGCCAGCCGGAGGGTCTGAACCAGTGGGGGCCCAAGAAAGGTTCGGCGGCGAGCGAGCGGGGGGGAGCGAGAGGAATGAGGCCTCCTCCGATTTTGTCCTACATTCAAGGCGGGCTCGTCCCTCTACAGGAGGAGTATTCAAAAATAGTCAAAACATAGTCTGGGGACTTTGTTCTGTATTTTTTGACCATTTTGGAATAAGTTGTGAGTGTGTTTCATTTGTCGTCGAAAATCCCCCTGTAGGGGGGCACGCCCAACTTAATCCTACATCCATACCCGGATCAAACAATTTTCGCGGCCATGCCTGGTCGTGTCGTCGGAGTAGCACGTATATATGTCAGAGTGGACTTCGCCAAGGCGGCGATGATGCAGGCCTTCTCAGAAGGCGGTGGGGCTTCTTAGAAGCCCTCCGGCTTTATCGGAAGTTCTCTGCGTCTTCGGGGAAAGGCCAGAGGCCTTCCGAGGCTTCTGGGAAGGCCCGTGCCTTCTCATTCCCCCGCAGGGGCACCGTCGATGGCTGGGACCACGGAAAATTGATCGGGAGGGGGAATGAGGCCAAATCCGTTCAACATCGGTCCCCAGACCCATTCTTTCCTAGGGTCCATGTGCGCAGCTGTTCGCCCCGCATCCGTTTCTGGCCGACCCTGGGCCCGAAAGCGGTCCCCAGGGACAAAGTCAGTGTTTTGGTTGGTTGCCACCCAAAAGACGCTTCGAACCCAGCACCTCGGGCTTCCCCCCCCCCCCTCCCCCCCTTGTGCTGGCGGGAACAGGTGCTTAGCCACCCCAGACTCCCGGCCCGCTCAAAGCCTGCAGCAGCACAGGTCGGCGGGCAGATGGAGGACCTCCGGAGAGCCGCGGCCGACGCTGGGCGGGACGCGGAGGACCTGAAGGCGAAGGAGGAGCCAGGGTCAACGACGGGGGTGCAACGAGAGGTTCGCAGGCCTCCAGCGGGTCGAACAAACGGCCACGAGGAGGTTTTTCTGCGTTTTCGGCCTCTTTGGGACCAGGCTGGGCCCCAGGGAGAGTCGAAGAGCGATTCGTGGCGCTAAATCGATCGGGGGGAACTGGTCGGGACTTTTGGAGCCTCCGTGTTGCAGCAATCAGACATAGGATCCCAGCCAGTCCTGGCCTCCAAAGTGGGGTCCGAGTAGATCGGGTCGGAGCAACGCGCCGCATCGCCGATGCATCCTCGATACGGCTCGACGTGGAGACCGCTTTTCTCCACGCCGATGCGTCGCCGAGGATTTGCCGGTGCATCGGCCGACTCGATGCTCCGACCCAGCTGCTCGTGCCCCGTTGGGGAGGCCTCCAGCCAGGGGCTGACCTAAACGCTGCTGTGCTGGACTTCGGCTGTGTTTGGCTTCCCGTTGTGGCAGGGAGGTGCGGGAAAACAGGTGTCGGGGCTGGACAGACCTCCTACCCTGACGCGTCGATTGAGGAATTGGCCGTTTTCGTTTTGCGAGAGGGCGTCGCGGCCGTCGTTTTTGCGGGTTCGGGTCCGTCGATTTCGGTCCCAAGCCGTTTTCTCACTGAGGGGAGGTTTACGAAAGGGAGGCTTGTCCACCGCCGAAGGTGGAGCAAAACGAAGCACACCGCGAGAACAAGACGAAACACACGAGGTTTAGGTCCAGCCCTGGCCTCCGGCCAGGGTCGGGGGAGCGTAAGACCCGGGTTTGCCGGGACTCGGGTTCGCCATCGTTTTTTGACGACCGCGCCTCGGATTTTGACGAGGAGGAGTTTCGTGGGATGTCTGCAGCGGGAGGCCTCGTCAAAATGCAGGCTCGGCCTCGTCATTTTTTTGACGACCTCGTCGGGGATTTCCGAGTCCCCTGTACCCAGGTCTTACGTTTCCCCGAAAGGTTTAGGTCCAGCCCTGGCCTCCGGCCAGGGGGCACCGGCAGGGGGGAGGGGGGATTGGCTCAGGGGCCACGACGGCGGGAGGGTCCGCGGGCCTGCCGCGCGGAGCCGGCCCCCCTCTCGGCGTCTGCTCGCCTCTCCCCCTGCTCCTCCTGCTGCTGCTGCTGCTGCTCCTCCTCCTCCTCCACCTCCACCTCCTCCTCCCCCCCCCTCCTTCTCCTCCTCCTCCCCCCCCTTCCCCTCCTCCTCCTCCTCCTCCTCCTCCTCCTCCTCCTCCTCCTCCTCCTCCTCCTCCTCCTCCTCCTCCTCCTCCTCCTCATCGTCCTCATCGTCCTCATCGTCCACGAGTGCTCACGTGGTTCGAGGGTCGGGCTCGCATTCAAGGAGGTGTCTCATCGTGCACTTGGCCAGGACGCACCCCAGGAGAGGTCCAGGCCATGATTTGTGACCTCTGATCAGGGGCGGGCCCCAGTGGCTGATAGGTCGATGCTTCCCCCCCTCTGCCTGTTCCCCGCGGCCGTTGCCCCTCTGAGGAGGAGCTGCGCAAGTTCTTGGAGCGGCAGGCGGAGGGCAAAGAGCCGCACCCGCACCCCGAGAGCCCGATGGGGGCATCCGTCACCCCACAGACCCAGGGCTGCATGGTTGCTCCCGGCCATGCTGTGGTGCGGGGTACTCGTTTTGAAGAGAGCGCCCCGGGTTCCTCTCCTCTCCTCTCCTCTTCTGCTTCCTCCGCCCTCCAATCCCTGCCCAGGCCCTCCGCACCAGTCAACCATGTCGGCACACCCGTCACACTTTCCGCATGGGGAACCCCGCCCAAGGCCACACGTGGTGCCGCCCGCACGCGTCTCCGCCACCCATTTCGGCACAACCCTCAAACGTTTCGTGGTCCGATCGGGAGCTCCACCCATGGCTCAAAGGGTGCTCCGTAACCATGTTGGCTCAAGATGATTTTGCCCGCGGCCCCCAAGCGGAGACCGCTGGGCCGCGGACAGATCCTTCGACGGCGCGCGCGTGTTTGTGTGTGTGGCTTGCATTGATCATATTATGTTTGTCTCGGCCATGGCTGCTCTTGCAGTGCGTATGTGGAGAGTTGCGTCCAGCGTCCCGTCCCAGTTGAGGAACAGCCCGGTTGCAGTTTAGTGCGGCCTCGCTCGCATCGCCAGCGTTGAGAAGCTCGAGCACCCCCCGTTCGCGGGCAGTGGGCTGGCGAACCCCCTCGTCGCCAATGCGGGCAGGATCGTAAGACATTCGGCGGCGGCAATGGCAGCAACTTCTACGGCAACGGCAACGGATGCGGCGGCTTGGATCCCAGGTGCAGCACAGATTGGCCTGGCAACGCCCTCACAGCGGAACAGGTCAAGACCTGGGTTGGCTTCGACGACGCGACGCGAGAGGCTGCCAAGCTTGCCCTCAACCAGGGGAATCGCACGAAGGTGAACGCTGCTCGTCGTGTTGCTGCTGCTGCTGGGGCAGTTGTCAAGACAGCGCCTCAGAGAGGGGATCGCGTAGCTCGTCAGATGGCAGATGCGAAGTCGAGGCTTCATCGCGACCAGGAAAATGCTTTCAAGACTTTGCAGCAGGTGCACAAGACGACGTGGGAGATTGAGAAACTCGAGGTCGAGCTCGTGGAGGCCAAGCGAGAGGCCGCCGCGCCCTACGGCGTGCAGGGTGGCATCAGCCCAGCAACCATCAAGGACAAGCTCAGCAAGCTCAACACGGACGGTGCCTCAGGGCTGGATCTCATCGGGCAGCTCTCCAAGATGGTCAACGAGCTCGCCGATGAGGCTCGAGCGCCCGCAGCGGGGCCACCAGCAGCAGAAGGTCATGCACGGGTGGGGGCCACAGCAGGTGGGCAATTTGGAGCAGGAGGTTCAGCGCCAGCAGATGCCGGCGTGCAGCCTGCGGCGCGAGCGCAGCCCGCAAACGAGGCCCCCGCCACATATTTTAGCACTTTCCTCACACGGTTCGTGGCCTCATCATGGGGCCCACCACAAGGCCCAAATGGTGCCGCCCGCATGCGTTTCCATAGGGTGCTCCACCAGAGGCCCCAATGGTGTCGCCCGCATGCGCCCTCCCCACCTATTACGGCACACACACACACACACACACACCGCGCTTCGTCACCCCCCGAAGGCCCAAATGGTGCCGCCCGCATCTGCCCCCGCCTCCCATGTCGGCACGCCAATCACACGCTTCGTGGTTACATAGGGAACTCCGCCCCAGGTTCAAATTATGCACCCTGTATGAGATCCCGCCACCTACTTCGGCACCCCAGTCACACGTTTCGTGGCCCCACCGGGAGTTCGGCCGAAGGCCCCACGTGGTGCCGTCCGCGTATTGCCAGACAACGTTTCATACGTTCCGTGGCCGCAGAAGGTTCCACCGAAGGCCCAAAAAAAAACCGTCCGCATGCGCCCCCGTTTCGTGGCACCACAGGGAGTTAACGAGTTCCACCCAAGGCCCAAATGGTGCTGTCCGCTTGCGTCCCTGCCACCCATGTCGGCACACCTGTCGTACGTTTCGTGAGCTCCACCGAGCGGCCGCAAGGGTACCGTTCTCATGCGTCCTCGCCGTCAATGTCAGCACACCCCTCACGCGCTTCGTGGGGCGAACGGGGAGACCCACCCAAGGACCCAATGGTGCCAATCGCATGCGTCCCGCCACCACTTTCGGCACACCCCTCGCACGTTCCCCAGCCCCAAAGGCATCTCCCCCCACGGCGCCAATTGCGTCCCCGCCGCCCGTCCCGGCACACCCCTGACACGCTTCGTGGCCCCATCGGGGGCCCTGCCCAAGACCCCGCGTGGCGCCGTCCGCATGCGTCCCGCTACCCATTTCGGCACACCCATCGCACGTTTCGTGGCCCTACAAAGAGCTCCGTCGAAGGCCTAAATTGTACCCTCCGTGTGCGCCCCCGCCACCCATTTCGGCACACTCGCTCAACGTTTTGTGCCCCCTTGGGGAGCTCCACCGAAGGGGTTCAGTGGCGGCGTGCGCATTCGGTCCCCCACTCGTTTCGGTACGCCGCTTTCACGGTTTATGGCCCGACAAGGAGTTCCACCAAATGTCCCAGTGCCACCGTTCGCATGCCCCGCCCCCGCCCATCCCTTCACATGTTTCCCACGTTTCATGGGCCCACAGGCAGCTCCACCCAAGGCCCCATGATGAGATTCATTGACAGTGATACTCGCAAGGGAGATATCCCAAACTGCATATGATTCGGGCCGTCGCCAGTCTAGTTTTGTGTTCACCACGTGGCACCCCATAACTAATGCAGGAAAAAAACATCATTCATGATCGCTCATTTAGATTCGGACTCCCTCTGGTGATGCTGTTGCTCGGTTTTTTCCTTTTGATCCGTCCTCCCTCGTTTCCTCCTTGCAAGAGCTTTTTATATTTTTCCAGGCCGGTAACGGCCACCATCGGGGGGGAGGAAGCCGATGACGTCACGTTTCGCGCCGACGGCCCCTGTGAATGCGAACGAATGACGGGCAGAAACAGCATGCAGGTGGCGATCTGCACCACAGCGCCTGTGTACACCACAGCTCAGAGACCCGAATCATCAGGGGTAACTCGGGTCAGGGCTAACTCGGGTTCGTTTTTCGGGAATCCGGACCCGAGTTGCCCTGGGCCCGAGTTACCCTGGACAACTCGGGCGTCCAGAGCCCCAAAACATCAGGGATAATTCGGGTCAGGGCTAACTCGGGTTCGTTTTTGTCGGGAATCCGAACCCGAGTTACCCCTGGCCCGAGTTCCCCCGGATAATTCGGGCGCCCAAACAGTGCCTGCGTGCATCACAGCGCTCGCGCGCACCACGCCGCACGCACACACCACGGCAGCCGCGCGCTCCCGCGAGCTGCCACAAACGCGCAGCACTGGTGCAACGGCACGGGGCGCGACAAAGCGGCGGAACGTTGGTAGCGGGCGCGTTCCGAGCGCTGGTCCCTGGACGCTCCTCCTCCTCCTCCTCCTCCTCCTCCTCCTCCTCCTCCTCCTCCTCCTCCTCCTCCTCCTCCTCCCTCTTTCGGCGCGGGCCGACTGTCACAATTGTGCAGTTCCGTTCGCCGCGGGCGCTTGGCTGCTGCCGCCGCAGCAGTGGTCGGCGATGCCGCGGTAGAACGGCGAGCGCAGCACATGCACGCGTTCGGGCCCTCGCTGCCCCTTTTGCGTTTGAGCAATTCGCGCGGTCGGGTCGCGCGGGCGGCGCCGCGTTGGCTAGTTTGCGAAAGGGGTGTGTAGCGTTGCACCAGGGGCCGGCGCTTGACTTTTGGCGGACTGACGGGTTCTCGGTGGTTCGGGTCCTTGGTGGTTCGGTCCCTCTGTGGGTGAGGGGTGGGTGGGTAGGCGGGGTACTTGCGGGGCGCAGTTCCAGTGTGCACCACAGTGCCTGCGTGCACCACACAATAGCGCCTGCATGTACACAGCACCCGTGTACACCACGGTGCCTGTGTGCACCACAACACCTGTGTGAACCACGGCGCCCGCGTGCACCACATCAGCCGTGTGCAACAGACCACCATGTTTCATACATAATTTAGAAAGTATATTTTTGATCTGTACGACAACATGGAGCACCTGTGGATACAACTTGAAACACTTGTTTTGTTTAGGATTTGGAAAGGAGTCCTTCTGGGAAAATGAACGCCGCTGGAATCTATGAGTCCTCCCGAGTCCTCCCGCATCATCCTAATTATTCCGACGTGAGTCAAAAAGGCTTCCGCAGATTTGGCCGTCCGAAAACCAAGTGGACAGATCCAGTGAACCATTTTGTGGTGCGTGCTGAGATGCGCACGTTCGCTGTAGCGCCGACCCGCGCGACAGGGGGAAGGGTGAGGGAGGAGGACGACGACGACGAGGACGAGGACGAGGACGAGGACGAGGAGGACGAGGAGGAGGAGGAGGGGGAGGAGGAGGAGGGAGGAGGTGGGAGGAGGGGAGAGCGTTGTCTCCTGCGTGGCGTTTAGCTGTCCGCAGCAGATCCTCACCTACATGCTCTGTCCTGTGCACGCAGGCGCTGTGGTGTCCACCACCGCTGCGTTGCACGCGGATGTTGTTGTATGCACAGGTGTTTTGGTGTGCGCAGGCGCTGCGGTGCACGCAAGCATTGTGGTGTACATAGACGCTGTGTTGCACATGGTTGCTGCGGTGTATACAAGCGCTGAGATGCACGCAGGCACTGTGATGCACGCAAGCACTGTGGTGTACACAGGCGCTGCGTTGCACACGGGTGTTGCGGTGTATACAGGCGTTGTGGTGTACAAGCGTGGTGTGGTGTACGCGGGCACTGTGGTGCACACAGGCGCTATGGCGCAGATCGCCACCTACACGCTGCTCCTACTTGGCCCCGGGCATCTCTGGGCATTCCCTGTCGCCGCCGGCGAGGGACGTGACGTCATTTTTGTTTGGGGGGGGGGCGGCGGGGCCGGTGACGGCCGGTCCCGGAAAAATAAACAAAATAGGCTCCAGTGCAAGTTTTGCTGAGCTAGTTTTCCCGCCCACGCGCTGGACGGCGTACGGCTCGAGTTCGAGTGCGAGTTGTTCCCCAGAGATCTGGACCCCTTCTTGGGGACCCGTTTGTCATCCCGAGAGTTTTTGTTGACGGCCTCGAGGCCCCGTGAGGGCCCCGGGACCCCACATATGGCGAGAGAACGCAATGGGCCCTGGGCGAAGCGTTGGTCCCGGGGAAGGGGTCAGGCCGGACCTCTGGGACCGCGGGCTAAGAACAACTTCGGAGGGGTGCCTTAGGTCCCCTACACCTTCTAGGATCGTGTAAACGTAAGACTCGAGTAAGCCAGAACTCGGGTTTGCCGGCGTTTTCTGACGAGCGCGTCCTGGATTTTGACGGTCCCGTGTTCGTGGGATGTTTGCAGCGGGAGTTCGCGTCATATTTCTGATTGGGTCCCGTCATTTGTATGATGGTTTTGTCGGGCCAACCCGAGTCCCCCGTACCCTTAAGTCGGGCCTGTCCTTCTACAGGGGGAATATTCAAACATAGTCAACAAATAGTCGGGGACTTTTTTGTTTGGCATTTCTTTGCCATTTTGGATTATTTGCTTTTCAGTTTTGTTTTCGTATTTTTTATCGAACATCCCCCTGTAGGGGGACACGCCCGACTGAGCCGCACCCGAGTCTTATGTATACGTCTCCCCGATGGGAGGTGTTCCGCTTGCCGCCTCGCCACGGGGCCCCTGGGCCGTCGGCGACGGGGCTCGTGCTCTGGATCGGCGCTCCCTTGGCCTGGTGCCGACCGTGTGTGTCTCAAGCAGTGGCGAAGCGTCCCGGCTCGCCTATAGTTGGGGGGTGGTCAGAACCCCAGCAGTGACACGTCGATTCGTGATTTGTCCTTTTTCGGTTCTCGAGAGGGCTCCGCGGCCGTTATATTCAGGCTCGCGCCCGCCGGGTTTGGGCCTCAGGTCGTTTTCACTAAACCACGTTTTACTAAAGGGAGGTCTGTCCATCCCCGAGATAGCCCTACCAAGAAATGTTCAGAGGCCCTTTCGGTGGTTCCCACGAATTGTTCTCAGAACATTTCTGGCGGAGTCTGTCGTGTGTTAACACATAAGGCTTAAGTTCCAAGACTTATCGTTCTTGTTCTTAGAACATTTGTGGGTTCGAAGAACATTTCGTGGTAGGACTATAGAAAGGCCGGGACGGTCAGTACCTGCTCCCCCCCCACCCACGGACGCGCACATGCTTCGGGCCTTAGAAAGTTCCAACCGACTTTAGCCTTGATCGCCGGAAACGATCTCGAGCACCGAGAAAGCACCGAAGCTGGAGGATGTGTTCATACTTCGCGCCCTGCGAGGCGATACTCTTTCGACACCGTTTCGCTACTGCTCGAAGGTACTTATGGGATTTGGTCCGTAAGTACGATGGGAGCAACACAACTCGGGCCAGGCTTTGCGAACCCCATCTTAGATGGCCCCCTCGCGGACGCCTCCGCAGCGCACGGGAGGGCGCGCGGCGTCCCCTGCATCGACCAACGCCCCCCTCGACCGGGAACCCGTCGGCAGGCTGCATGTGAGAGTGACCTTTCGCTGGAGTGACCTCTGCTGCTGGCACGCTGGGCAGGAGGAGGAGGAGGAGGAGGAGGAGGTGGGGTTAGGCTCCCACGCGCCTCCCATGAGGCAGCGCACGGAAGGTCACTCTTGCCCGGGGCCACCTCCTTGCGTGTAGCCGATTCAGGCTGGCGGCGGCTGTCGTGGTGGGCGTCGTCGGCTGTTTGTTTCCAGCCAACCTCTGGTGTTGCGTCGTCGTTTGGAACCCGCAGCGCCGCGCGTCGCACCTCGCCTCCCGCTGCGCCCCGTCCTTCGCTCCTCGGCTCTCCCCCCTCTGGGCTCCACCAGGGGTTCCAGCGGAAGCAGTCGCATACCGCCCCCCCCTGCCCATTTCTCAAGAGTGGCAAGGCGTCCTGGCTCGCCGATAGGCTCGCCTAATAAGGTTCTAAGAACCTTGTCGAGGTGTGTGCGACATGTTGTTTGAACGCATCTGACTAAGGCAGTCTTGTTTGAACACGTCGGCCGCATGGTTTCGGAGCGCTTTTTCTGTTCCTAGAAGATCGGCCGTTCAAAGACCACATCGTTGTCGGCCTTTCGGAATGCCAGGGCGGGCGGGCTCTGCTCAGATCCTGGAGCACCCCTCAATCTCTTGGCGGCCCCGTATGGGGGATTCCGCAGAGAAGTCCCTGGTGGCAGCGGCCGCAGACGCGCACGCTCGTGTTCGCGCCCAGCCGGCACATCTCCCACCTGTTTCGCGGATGCCCCTCGGGAGCTCCACCAAAAGGGCCCCCCTTTGGCGGTGCCACCATGCGTATACCCCCGGTCACGCCGGCCCCACAGGGGGGCTTCTGCGGGAGACCCCGGCGGCATCGGCCGCGTGCGTGCCCGTGCACCTCAGTGGGCCCCGGAAACGGCAGGGCCGTTTTGTCACCGTTTCCGAAAAAGTGTCCCCTGGAAACGGAAACGGCAAAAAAACACAACCGGAAACTGCAAAAGAAACGGCTCCAGGATTGGACCCGGAGCCGGAACCGGTCAAAAAACGGCGACGGAAGCGGGATAAAAACAGCGTCGGCACCGGCAACAAAACACGGCAAAACGGAACCGGTAACAAAAACGGCCCGGTCGTTTCTCAGAGCGTGAATTACCTCCCCCGTTTTCGCTTCCAGGCAAAGCCAAGTCATACCACGCGCCTCCTCGTCGAGCGGCCTGACCAGTACAGGCCGTAGTTTGGCATCGTTTGGTATCTCTTGGAAGCGAGGGTGGTCAAAAGCGAGGTAGGTTTGTTTTCCCTCTAGTTCCCAGGGCCCACTGAGCCGTGCACGCGTCGGCACACCCTTCGCACGCCACGAGTGCTGCCCGCCGCGGGGCCCCGAGCGCGCGCCGGCCGCGGCGAGACGAGGCCGCGCCTCGCGCCGCCCGCGGCTGCAGGGCCTCGGGCCCGTCGCTGGGCTGTGGTCTGCGCCCGCTCGTCCTCGGGGCCTCCCAGCTTCGGGAGGGAAAGACACACACACACAGACACGAGGAATCGTCGATTCCCCAGGAAAGATGGGGCTATATATGGGAAGTGTGGGGGGGGGGGAGACAAGAAAACAGAAAATGTTGGGGAAATCTGGGGAGTGCTGTTTTTTTTTTGTGTGTGTGTGTGTGTATGTATTTGCGTGTCCCGGGGCCCCCCTCACACATGGGACCGAGCACGCGGGGTCGGAGGATGGCGCCGCACCGCGGGCGCATCGGCGGCGCGGCTCCACGTGGAGCCCGACTCCGCCCGCGCCGACGCCGCCGCCGCACCGCCCTCCGACCCAATCTTCTCGGACCCCATCCAACGAAGGATTGCAAAAAAACCTTCGTGTTTGTTGCAATCCTTCGTTTTTTTGCAATCCTTCGTTTTTGTTGCAATCCTTCGTCCAGGAGGGTTCTTCTTCCTCCCCCCCGTTTCGATACTGATCGTTCCGTTTCGCTATCGATCCGTTTCGATGGTCCGGCTCTGCCCGGTCCATCCGTCTCGATATCGTCAGGAGGGAAAAAAAACACACAGACACAATTAATCGTCGATCCCTAGGAAAATATTGGAAAATATGCGAAGTGGGGGGGAAGACAAAAACTCAGAAAATATGGGAAAATATGGGGAATCATTTTATTTGTGTGTATTTATTTGTGTGTTTGTGGGCCCCTTCATATCGATCGCTCCCGCCTCGGTCCAGTTCGATCTCGACGCTTCCAGCGATGCCGTGCGGGCCGAGGCGCGCACGGCGCGCATCCCGGCGCGGCCGACCAAGGTTCGAGCTCGACCCCTTTGCCGATGCAGTCCGATCCAGCTGCAGCTCTGACATCAGAGCGTGAATTGCCTACCCCGCGTTCGCTTCCAGGAGAAGCCAAGCCACACCGCGCGCCTCCTCGTCGAGCGACCTGACCAGTACAGGCCGTAGTCTGGCATCGCTTGGCATCTCTTGGAAGCGAGGGCGGTCAAAAGCGAGGCAGGTTCGTTCTCCCTGATTTGAGATTCGAGCCGGCTCACCAGATCGATGAGCCGGCGGGGCCTGCCCACCTCCCCCCCCCCTGGGGCCCTCGGAGGGCCCCCCGAGGGCTGTGGTCATGAAGCCTCAGGAAGGGAAAAACACACACACACACACAGACACAATCAATCGTCGATCCCCTGGAAAATATGGGAAGTGGGGGCGAAGACCAAAACCCAGAAAGTATGGACAAATATGGGAAATCCGGCGATGTGTGTGTATTTATGTGTGCGTCTTTGGGCCCCTTGAAAGCTGTGGGGTGAGCAGGTCGGGATCCGGGGTGTCGCCGCACGGATTCGGGTCCTGTGGGCCGCTCTTCGAGCAGTGGCGAAGCGTCCTGGCTCGCCGATGGCCCTGCCAAACAGTTATCTAAGAACCTTTTGTGGTTTCCACGAAATGTTATTGGAACATTTCTGGCGGAGTCTGTCTTGTTTAATTGCGAAGGCCTGACGGCCGGTGCCGCCGACCCTGTTCGCAATGCGCAGCAAGAGGCACGGGCTGTGGGATGGTTTGGGGGAACGGGGAGAAGGACGAGAAGGTGGGGGAGGGAGGTGTCGTATCTGACCCGGGACTTCCCCGGGACTCCCCCGGGACCCCCCCCGGGACCTCCTCTCCCCCCCCCGTCGGGGAAGGGAAAGGGAAGGGGCTTCCCTTCGACTCAATGACGACGTTGCTCAAGGTCGGTACGGGGGGGGGGCGTCGTATCTGACTCGGGGGGGGGGTCGCTACCCCCCCCGCTACCCCCCCCCCCTCCCGGCGGGGGAGGAATGAAAGGGAAGGGGCTTCCCTTCGACTCAATTACGAGGTTGCTCAAGGTCGGCTTGGCTGGAGCCCAGGGGAAGAGGAGTCCCAGGGGGGGGCGTCGTATCTGACCCGGGGGGGGGGTCGCTACCCCCCCCCCCCTCCCGGCGGGGGAGGGATCAAAGGGAAGGGGCTTCCCTTCGACTCAATTACGAGGTTGCTCAAGGTCGGCTTGGCTGGAGCCCAGGGGAAGAGGAGTCCCAGGGGGGGGCGTCGTATCTGACCCGGGGGGGGGGTCGCTACCCCCCCCCCCTCCCGGCGGGGGAGGGATGAAAGGGAAGGGGCTTCCCTTCGACTCAATTACGAGGTTGCTCAAGGTCGGCTTGGCTGGAGCCCAGGGGAAGAGGAGTCCCAGGGGGGGGCGTCGTATCTGACCCGGGGGGGGGGTCGCTACCCCCCCCCCCCTCCCGGCGGGGGAGGGATCAAAGGGAAGGGGCTTCCCTTCGACTCAATTACGAGGTTGCTCAAGGTCGGCTTGGCTGGAGCCCAGGGGAAGAGGAGTCCCAGGGGGGGGCGTCGTATCTGACCCGGGGGGGGGGTCGCTACCCCCCCCCCCCTCCCGGCGGGGGAGGGATCAAAGGGAAGGGGCTTCCCTTCGACTCAATTACGAGGTTGCTCAAGGTCGGCTTGGCTGGAGCCCAGGGGAAGAGGTCTCCCAGGGAAAGGGAAGGACAGAGACGACGAGTACAAAGAATGACGGAGATGACGGCTCGAACGGAAAAGCCCCTCACACACGCCGACAGGGTCGGCGGATAACTTCAGGCTTACGTACTAAGAAACACGTTTCTGTCTTTAGAACATTTTGGGGTTCTAAGAACACTTTGTTGTATGACTATAGGAATGTCGGGACGGTCGGTCCCTGCTCAAGTTCTCCGAGGACGGCTGGGGCTATTGTCGATGATCTTCAGGACGTGCGTCAACCCAATGTGTGTGTTACCCTTTTTACCCCAACCAGTCGATCGTCATATCGCCTTCGTCGTATCGCAGGGCCTCGGTGGACAAACACACGTTGGCGCTAACACACGTTCTGAAGATCATCGACATTGGGGCCCCCATGGTCCCAAGAACCCATGCGGTGAGGTCTTTGGAGATTTCGAGGTCACCGCGGGGCCTGTCACCACTCCAGGTTTCGGACCCCAGAAGCCCCCCTGTGAGAGTGGCGACTGGGGTCAGGCGTGTGCTTTCGTGCCAGCGCGTCTCTCGTCCCAGTGATTCTGTGAGCGCGGCGCAGATTCTCGTGCTGGTTGTTGGGCTGATGCCGCCCCAACTGAACTGAACTGAACCCACGCACCCCCCTCCAGACGGGCCAGGCCTGGCTCCACAGGGGGGGGGGCTTGGGAGAGGAGCAACACTCCCTGGCATCCGCCGTCGTTGGCTCTTTCCATCCGCGGCCCAAGAGGTCCCGACTCCCTTTCCAGTTCTTCTCCCCGTTCGGGCGAAGGGAACTATGCACATGCACCGATCCTGGCAAGGCCCATCCTTGACCCAGGATCGGTGCATATACCTTCCTAGCCAAGGTAGGAGGGCGTATGCACCGATCCTGGGCCCAGGATGGGCCTGGCCATAATCGGTGTATGTGCATAGTTCTCTTTCCTCTGCCCATATCAATGTCTCATGGCTCCGGGGCCCGGCAACGGGCGCCCGTCGGGTCCGGAACTGAGGGAGCACCTCCGGGTTGGAATGACCATATCGTCGGAGATTTTGGGCCTCACACGCCGAGGACCCAGACCTCCGACGTTGTGACTGTT